ATGGTTGCTGGTTCTGTAGGTTGCGATTCCGTAGTTGGTGATTCTGTAGTGAGGGAATATGAAGTCGATGATTCTGTAATATGTGATTTTGTATTGGGTGATCCTGTAGTTGGTGATTCTGTAGTTGGTAATTCTGTAGGTGATACTATAGTCTGTGATTCTGCAGTTGGTGATTCTGTATGTGATACTGTAGTCTGTGATTCTGTAGTTGGTGATTCTTTAGCTGATGCTGTAGGCTGCAATTCTGTAATGGGTGATTCTGTAGTTGGTGATACTGTAGTTGGTGACCCAGTAGTGGGTGATTCCGTAGTTGGTGTTTCTATAGTTGGTGAATTTGAGAATGATTCTGTTCTTTGTAATTTAACAGTGTGTGATTCTACAGTAGGTGATTCTGTAGTGGGTGATTCTGAAGTTGGTGATTCCGTAATGTGTGATTCTGCAGCTGTTAATTGTGAAGTTGGTGATTCTATAGAGGGTGATTCTGTAGCTGTTGATTCTGCAGTTGGTAACTCTGTAGTCAGCGAATCTGTAGTGGGTGTTTTTCTAGTCTGTGATTCTGTAGTGGCAGATGCTATAATTCGTGTTTTTGTAGTGGGTGGTTCTGTTGTTTTTGATTCTGTCAGCTGTGATTGTGTAGTTAGTGATTCCGATGTTGGTAAGTCTGTAGTGAGTGATTCTTTTCTCGGTGATTCTGCAGTAGGGGATTCTGTAAATGGTGATTTTGTAGTCAGCGATTCTTTAGTGGCTGAGTCTGTAGTTGGTGATTCTGTAGTTGGCGATTCTTTAGCTGGCCTTTCTGTAGTTGACGATTCTGTTGATGAAGTTTCTGTATTTTGCAGTTCTGTAGTTGACGATTCTGTAGTCTGTGATTCTGTAGTCTGTGATTCTACAGTCGGCGATTCTGTATTTAGCGCTTCTGTAATTAGCGATTCTGTAGTCTGTGATTCTGTAGTCGGTGATTCTTTAGTTAATGATTCTGTAGTCGCTGTAGTGGTAATTTTGTAGTCGATGATTCTGTAGTCTGTAATTCTGTAGTCACTGATTCTGTAGATGGTGATTTGGTAGATGGTAATTCTGTAGTGGGTAATTCTGAAGCCAGTAGTTTTGTAGTCGATGATTCTGTAGTCAGTGATTCTGTAGATGGTAATTCTGTAGTTGGTGATTCTGTAGATGGTAATTCTGTTGTCGGTGATTCTGTAGTCATTGATTCTTTAGATTGTGATTCTGTAGTCGGTGATTCTATAGTCGGTGATTCTGTAGTTAGCGATTCTGTAGATGGTAATTCTGTAGTCAGTGATTCTGCAGCCGGTTTTTCCGTAGATGGTAATTCTGTAGTCAGTGATTCTGTGGTTAGTGATTCTATATATGGTAATTCTGTAGTCGGTAATTCTCTAGTGGGTGGTTCTGTAGTCAGCAATTTTGTACTCGGTGGTTCTGAGGTCAGTAGTTCTGTAGTCAGTTTTTTTATAGATGGTAATTCTGTAGTCAATGATTCACTAGTAGGAGGTTCTTTAGATGGTGGGTCTGTAGTAGTGGATTCTTTAGTCATTAATTCTGTAGTCAGTGGTTCTTTAGATGGAGATTCTGTAGTCGCTGATTCTGAAGATTGTGATTCTGTAGCCGTTGATTCTGTAGATGGTGATTCTGTAGTCAGTAATTCTGTAGTCAGTGCTTCTGTAGTCAGTGATTCTGCAGTCAGTGATTCTGTAGTCAGATTTTCTGTAGATGGTGATTCTGTGGTCGGTGATTCTGTGGATAGGGATTCTGTAATACGTTTTTCTGTAAATGGTGATTCTGTAGATGGTGATTCTGTAGTCGGTAATTCTATAGTCGGTGATTCTGCAGTCGGTGATTCTGTAGTAGGTGATTCTGTAGATGGTGATTCTGTAGTCCGGGATTCTGTAGATGGTGATTCTGTAGTCGGTGATTCTGTAGTCAGTGATTCTGTAGCCCGTGATTCTGTAGTCAGTGATTCTGTAGTCGGTAATTCTGTAGATGGTGAATCTGTAGTCGGTGATTCTTTAGTCAATGATTCCGTAGTCAGTGATTCTGTAGTCAATGATTCTGTAGTTAGTACTTCTGTAGTCGGTGCTTCTGTAGTCGGTGATTCTGTAGTCAATGCTTCTCTAGTCGGTGATACTGTAGTCGGTACTTCTGTCGTTGGTGCTTGTGTTGTCGGGTATTCTGTAGTCAGTGCTTCTGTAGTCGGTGATTCTGTAGTCAATGTTTCTGTAGATGGTGATTCTGTTGTCGAGGATTCTGTAGTCGGTGATTCTCTAGTGGGTGATTCCGTAGTCTGTGATTCTGTAGTCGATGATTCTGTAGATGGTGATTCTGTAGCCGGTGATTCTGTAGTCTGTAAATCTGTAGTCAGTGGTTCTGTAGTCAGTGGTTCTGTAGTCGGTGCTTCTGTAGTCGGTGCTTCTGTAGTCGGTGCTTCTGTAGTCGGTGCTTCTGTGGATGGTAATTCTGTAGTCATTAATTCTGCAGTCAGTGATTCTGTAGATGGTAATTCTGTAGCCGGTGATTCTTTAGTCGGTGATTCTGTAGTCAATGATTCTGTAGACGGTGCTTCTGTAGGTGATTCTGAAGACGTTACTTCGGCAGTGGGTGCTTCTGTAGTCTGTGATTCTGTTGTCGGTGCTTCTGTAGTCGGTGTTTCTGTAGTCGGTGATTCTGTAGTCGGTGATTCTGTAGTCGGTGCTTCTGTAGTCAGTGCTTCTGTGGATAGTAACTCTGAAGTCATTAATTCTGCAGTCGCTGATTCTGTAGATGGTAATTCTGTAACCAATAATACTGTAGCCGGTGATTCTGTAGTAAGTGATTTTGTAGTCGGTGATTCTGTACTCGGTGATTCTGTAGTCGGTGCTTCTGTAGGTGATCCTGTAGTCGGTACTTCTGTAGTGGAATCTTCTGTAGTCTGTGATTCTGTAGTCAGTACTTCTGTAGTCGGTGCTTCTGTAGTCAGTACTCCTATAGACGGTGCTTTTGTTGTCGGTGATTCTGTAGTCTGTGATTTTGTAGTCGGTAATTCTGCAGTCGGTGTTTCTGTAGTCGGTGATTCTGTAGTCAGTACTTCTGTAGTCGGTGCTTCTGTAGTCGGTAATTCTGTAGTCGGTGATTCTGTAGTCAGTGATTCTGTATTCGGTGATTCTGTAGTCGGTACTTCTGTAGTCAGTGCTTCTGTAGTCGGTGATTCTGTAGTCGGCGATTCTGTAGTTAGTGATTCTGTAGTCGGTACTTCAGTAGTCGGTGATTCTGTGGTCCCTGATTCTGTAGTCGGTGATTCTGTAGTCGGTGATTCTGTAGTCGGTGATTCTGTAGTCGGTGATTCTGTAGTCGGTGATTCTGTAGTCGGTACTTCTGTAGTCGGTGTTTCTGTAGTCGGTGATTCTGTAGTCAGTACTTCTGTAGTCGGTGCTTCTGTAGTCGGTAATTCTGTAGTCGGTGATTCTGTAGTCAGTGATTCTGTAGTTGGTGATTCTGTAGTTGGTACTTCTGTAGTCAGTGCTTCTGTAGTCGGTGTATCTGTAGTCGGTGATTCTGTAGTCGGTGATTCTGTAGTTAGTGATTCTGAAGTCGGTACTTCAGTAGTCAGTGATTCTGTAGTCGGTGATTCTGTAGTCGGTGATTCTCTAGTCGGTGATTCTGTAGTTGGTACTTCTGTAGTCGGTGATTCTGTAGTCGGTGATACTATAGTCGGTACTTCTGTAGTCGGTGCTTCTGTAGTCGGTGATTCTGTATTCGGTACTTCTGTATTCAGTGCTTCTGTAGTCGGTGATTCTGTATTCGGTACTTCTGTATTCAGTGCTTCTGTAGTCGGTGATTCTGTAGTCGGTGATTCTGTAGTCGGTGATTCTGTAGTCGGTGATTCTGAGGTCGGTACTTCTGTAGTCAGAGCTTCTTTAGTCGGCGATTCTGTAGCCAGTGATTCTGTTGTCGGTGATTCTGTAGTCGGTGATTCTGTAGTCAGTCCTTCTGTAGTCAGTGATTCTGTAGTCGGTACTTTTGTAGTCGGTACTTCTGTAGTCTGTGATACTGTAGTCGGTGATTCTGTAGTCAGTGATTCTGTAGTCGGTAATTCTGTAGTCGGTGATTCTCTAGTCGGTGATTCTGTAGTTGGTACTTCTGTAGTCGGTGATTCTGTAGTCGGTGATACTATAGTCGGTACTTCTGTAGTCGGTGCTTCTGTAGTCGGTGATTCTGTATTCGGTACTTCTGTATTCAGTGCTTCTGTAGTCGGTGATTCTGTATTCGGTACTTCTGTATTCAGTGCTTCTGTAGTCGGTGATTCTGTAGTCGGTGATTCTGTAGTCGGTGATTCTGAGGTCGGTACTTCTGTAGTCAGAGCTTCTTTAGTCGGCGATTCTGTAGCCAGTGATTCTGTTGTCGGTGATTCTGTAGTCGGTGATTCTGTAGTCAGTCCTTCTGTAGTCAGTGATTCTGTAGTCGGTACTTCTGTAGTCGGTACTTCTGTAGTCTGTGATACTGTAGTCGGTGATTCTGTAGTCATTGATTCTGTAGTCGGTGATTCTGTAGTCGGTACTTCTGTAGTCAGTGCTTCTGTAGTAGGTGATTCTGTAGTCGGTGATTCTGTAGTTAGTGATTCTGTAGTCGGAACTTCAGTAGTGTGTGATTCTGTAGTCGCTGATTCTGTATTCGGTGATTCTGTAGTTAGTGATTCTGAAGTCGGCACTTCAGTAGTCGGTGATTCTGTAGTCGGTGATTCTGTAGTCGGTAATTCTGTTGTCGGTGATTCTGTACTCGGTACTTCTATAGTCGGTGATTCTGTAGTCGGTGATACTATAGTCGGTACTTCTGTAGTCGGTACTTCTGTAGTCGGTGATTCTATAGTCGGTGATTCTGTAGTCAGTGATTCTGTAGTCGGTGACTCTGTATTCGGTACTTCTGTATTCAGTGCTTCTATAGTCGGTGATTCTGTAGTCGGTGAATCTGTAGTCGGTGATTCTGAGGTCGGTACTTCTGTAGTCAGAGCTTCTTTAGTCGGCGATTCTGTAGCTAGTGATTCTGTTGTCGGTGATTCTGTTGTCGGTGATTCTGTAGTCAGTCCTTCTGTAGTCAGTGAATCTGTAGTCGGTACTTCTGTAGTCGGTGATTCTGTAGTCGGTGATACTGTAGTCGGTACTTCTGTAGTCTGTGATTCTATAGTCGGTGATTCTGTAGTCAGTGCTTCTGTAGTCGGTGATTCCGTAGTTGGTGATTCTGTAGTCGGTGATTCTGTAGGCTGCGATTCTGAAGTCGGTACTTCTGTTGTCTGTGTTTCTGTAGTCGGTGATTCTGTAGTCGGTACTTCTGTAGTCGGTGATTCTATAGTCGGTGATTCTGTAGTCAGTGCTTCTGTAGTCGGTGATTCCGTAGTCGGTGATTCTGTAGTCGGTGCTTCTGTAGGCTGTGATTCTGAAGTCGGTACTTCTGTTGTCGGTGTTTCTGTAGTCGGTGATTCTGTAGTCGGTACTTCTGTAGTTGGTGCTTCTGTAGTCGGTGATTCTGTAGTCAGTGCCTCTGAAGTCGGTGATTCTGTAGTCGGTACTTGCGTAGTCGGTGATTCTGTAGTCTGTGATTCTGTAGTCAGTACTTCTGTAGTCAGTGCTTCTGTAGTCGGTGATTCTGTAGTCGGTACTTCTGTAGTCGTTGATTCTGTAGTCATTGATTCTGTAGTCGGTTCTTCTGTAGTTAGTGCTTCTGTTGTCAGTGATTCTGTTGTCAGTGATTCTGTAGTCGGTATTTCTGTAGTTGGTGATTCTGTAGTCGGTGATTCTGTAGTCGGTACTTCTGTAGTTGGTGATTCTGTAGTCGGTGACTGTGTGGTCGGTGATTTTGTAGTAGGCGGTAGAGTGGTCGCCGCTTGTGTTGTCGGCGGTAGAGTAGTCGCCGCTTTTGTTGTCGGTGGTAGAGTAGTCGCCGCTTTTGTTGTCGGTGGTAACGTTGTTGGAGCTCTGGCTCCACATATGATAGGTGGGGGTGTTGTAGATCCGGTTGTTTTAGGAGTGGTCGCTGAGGTACTTGGGGTTGTTGATCCAGTGGTGGAGCACTGGGTTGTCTTGGGCGTTGTAGTTAAGATGCCCTGGACCTCAGCATATTTTGATAGCACTAGGAGGACGACAAACGGCAGCTGGCCGGCTATGGAGATCACGCTGTTGAGATAATAACATATATCTCGAATTTTGAGCGAATAATGAGATAGCAAACACTAACGCCCAGTAAATGAATGAATCAAGAGCTGACATTTCCGCTCTCTGACTTTTCCCATACGAATTTTGCCTTCTTCTCCAATAGCCAAAGAACAGTCGATTTGCTAACAGTACCAGTTACAACCTGATAAATAACCCGCCTGTTTTCCCCCCAAGTGTTGAAGATCTTCCAGATCCCTATCTCACCCCCACCCTCGCTGACTTTGTCAATGTAGGGATGCTCCGTCTATTGTGTTGCACTGTCCACTTGATCCCAAAAAGCCTTCACTACTTCCGCTTTGTCGTAAACTAGCTTATTGCCCCAGAGAAGACGCAGCAGCCAATCCTTTAGCCTGTTTATTACACTAATGTCCATTAGCGAGATTTGGCTATTAACAGAAAACTTTTTTTTTTTTAATTCTCAATGAACATACTTATAGGCAACACACGACTTTACAGTACTGCTATGTCCTTGTGAGAAGGATATTTATATCTGGGCTTAACGTGCACTGATTCATAAGACAGTAAAAAGATATCGTCTGGAAAGACAGAACGATCCTATCATACATTTTAAAAGCAATTAGCCTTTCCTCTTGGGCCTAGGGCGGCGCATAGGGCAGAGGTCATAGTTCTCCGTGTCTGGCGGATCGTTGTCACCTGCTTCAGGTCTTGGATGTTTGTTAGGCCGATGACTGAGCCATTCCTGATGATGGTTCTACGAAAAGTCTCTCTTGGTCTTCTTCATTTTCCATTCCAGTGTCCAAATGTGTCCCTATTTGGTTAGGCTTTTTAGTCAAATTTCCCTGGAAAAACTATGCTGTGACAACATTTCATTGATGTTCTCGGACTACTTCGCATACGCTAACAAGAAAATCGAATTTGTGGAGTTGAATATCGTCAGGGAATTCTTGGAATATCATAGATCCAGAAAAGGAATTATAATGACATTTTTCTTGGTACAAACATAACCCCCCCCCCCCCCCACCACTACCCCACCCCTTCCAACCCCCGCGCTCTTTCCGATGTTTGTGATAAGTTGTCTTTGAGCATTCGCCTCTTTCAAAACATATAAGTTGCTCTTTTTGGCTGTCCATAAAATTCTACAGATTCTTTTGTAAAACTGAAAGACATTAACAGTGTCCACGTTTTTTTTTTTTTTTTTATTCGTTATTCGTGAACTACTGAAAAAATGCGACTGTAGATTGAAAAGAGTACTGAATGATGCAAGCAACGAACGGTGTCACTACGGCAAACGTATTTTTTCTTGTTACTTGCCAATCGCAAGTTGATATGAAGTAGCTCTCGTACATACACGATCAAATACAACAGTAAATTTTTATATACACGCGCAATCTATGTTTAACAATTTCAAAAAACAAGTACACTGAACTCTACCAGGAAGAAGACATCCGGACTGTTTAGTACCTCATTTCAATGTCCGAGTGGCATAAATTGACAAGAAGAAATCAGTCAGGTGTCGTCTCCTCAGTGAAGGTTGGCTTCAATGATATCAAATACACTCTGTCTTGTGTCTTGATCATACCTTGCAAACAAATGTAGTTAGTTCTGTTCAAAGTTCAGTTGTAGAATTGCCGCTGTCTTTTGTTTTTTAATACTTTTTGTCTCTGAAAATAAATGTACAAGATGTCTTTTTTTTTCTTCTTTTGCCGAAAAAAAAATTACAATAACAAATTTTTAAAAAAAAAATTTGAAAAAAAAAAAAAACTTTACTAGAATGATAATGTGAAATGTGACTTTTCTTATACGTGTACAACGCTAAATTAACTCCTCAGGTTTCTCCTTTGTGAACTGTACAGAAAGAAAACACGCACAATCACACGTTTCCATACAAGGGGACATCATGAAAATACTTGACAGCAGTCACCCGGAATGCCGATAATTTAGCAATCTCTGAGTAGGAGCGTCCGAAAATGAGGATTCAGATCCTTGGAGATGCTTGCGATTTCCTCTAGTAAATTAGCAAATGGTCTAAATGATCCCTTACCCCTTACCATAGAAGTATTTGTAGATACAAAAGATATTGCTTCATATAAAATGGTACTGATCTACCGTTCTCTCAGTGTTGGTTCCACGACTCCATTGTGGGGCGGGAGTGATTGGGGGGGGGGAGGGCGGAGGATAGATCTACACCCTTCTCCCCAACAAGCGTGTCACAAAAGTCGACTCTAGTGTTGTCTCCTCGAAAGTTAAGAGTGCAACAGCCTGAGAGACGAGGAACCAACATAGTGCATACAAATACGCCAGATCTGTCAATCGAATTTACATGCAAAGTTCAAGATCTGGAGCAAGACAAAGGGCTAGAAGTGGTATTATTATTATTATCTTCATCATCATTATTATCATCATTATCATATTAATTATTATTATTAAGCACTTATAAAAGGCTTAGGCTCAATTTGCCCCTTTATCATCCTCATCATCATCATCATCATCATCATCATCATCATCATCATCCCGTAACACTACGTGTCGTTGGGTCACCAGTTTTTGTTCACTGTCTGATCAGCTCTCTCCACCCTTGACAGCCAGTTGCAATGGACTTCATGGTTGCTTGCCTGAGGCCTGTCCAGTCAGTCAGGTTCTGTAACCAGGTCTTTCTTGGTCTGCCTCTTCTCCCCTTTCCCTCTACTGAGCCCTGCAGGCCATTAGATCTTACTACATGTCCGTACCACTGTATTTTTTACCTTTTCACTGTAGTTAAAAGAGGTCCATAGTTGCCCGTGTGCTGTATAATCTTACCCCTTAGAACATTGATAATTTGGGCTGCGACCTCTCTGCAGCCCAAGCTCCCTCCGTAATTTGTGTGTCTGTGTGGCCAGGTCGACAACCCTGTTTACAGCAGTACGCGTTTAGAATTGCTGGTGACACCATGAATTCGCCTGATCACATTCACAGTTAAAACCTTTACCCCAAACGTGCGAGCTGAAATAGCTGCAGGTAATCCGATGATCTGGTAACAGCCGTGTTTCAACTTTATAGCAAACGGGTCATACCACAGCTGCTTATTTTTGTGCCAACGAAAACCACTCAGAATGCCCATCCCTATCGCTTGTTTAAAACAAAAACACGACACAGACTGTAGCCACAGCACAGCCAACAGCACACACACGTATCAAATGCACAAGACAGCCTTCAGAAGTGCCAACACAAACAGTCGGACAATAGAAATGCAGTTCATCATCGATGAAAGGAACAGTTGAAATATCAGTAGTTGCACACTGTCACAACCCTATTAAGTACAGTCAGTGTACCACACCGTAAGGTGTGCGCCCAGGGTTGACACAGAGGTCAGGGCCGTCACTGGTCAAGTCCGTTCTGTGACGCGAAACCAGCGCTCAGGATAAAGCAAGAAAGCCTGAACTGTGTTGTGGACAAACACGATGACTGTTTTTGGGACTGAGCTGGTGAACGGGGTCAAGAGACACGAGGGAGAAGGAAGAAGGACATTCGGTGTGCGTCGGTCAGGAAGAGAGGACAGTTGTGTTATAGTATTAGAGTTAGGATATATCTGTTAGTGACTGGATAGTTTATGTTATAGTATTAAAGTTAGGATATATTTCGGTTAGCGACTGGATAGTTTATGTACAGTTTTGTGTTAGGATAGGATAGTTCTTGTGTAGAGTATTTATGTCAATGTGCTGTGAGAGAGTGGCTAACCTGGACACTCTGACCCTGCACTAGGACAGAGACTGTGACAGTGTGATTGGGTCAGCGTGGCGATAGAAGAGAGCGTATCCTGCCGGATTGTGGTTTGTACACCAGAATATTGCCTGTCGCACGTACTGGGGACGGGGCGATTGTAAAGCCCGTTCAGCCAGAGGGTCCAGGCAATAGGTGGCCACACGGCGGGAAGTCAACTGTCTATGTATTACCTGTACTTCCAATAAAGATTGTCGTGTGTGCTCTGTGTGCGTTCGGGTTCAGTGTGTGTTGTCGGTTAGTCTGTCTGTCATAGGCCTAGTTAGCGAGCCACGGACCGGCAAGGTCATACCAGAGGTTTGTGACACACACGCAATTAATCACATAAGGCACGACCAGTTCTCTGGCTATAGGTCAATCGCCATTTTCTGAACACTGCACAAATCACGTTGGGCACAGTGATAGTGTCTTACTCTTGTGTACTTCTACAGAGGTACCACTTCAAGTGGCCTGGGACATAACAATAATAGTTAAATAATATATAATCTATTACGAACAAGCAAAAAAAAGAAAAAAAAAAGGTAAAGTGCTTACTAAATAAAACTCCTTGGTATGAAAGGAAGATTTTAGAAAAAGTAAATTAGATATTGAAAACTCAACACGGCAACAAAACTTATAATCTTTGATTAATATACCATTTAAAAATATTCACAGCAAACAAGAATGCAAACAGCGAAATATGCCAAGCAATAAATTATGCAATGGTTTTTTGTGTGTGTCCAAATTTTTTTTGTAGTTTATTTACAAAGGGGAGGCATTGATTTGACTAAATATTTTTCCCAAAAAAAAAATATAACTTTAAAATAACAATAACGATTATTATTACAGCTAAAAAAAAAAAAAAAAGAAATAGGACCCTTCACAATTCGCAACAAAGTATTAAAAATGAAATTTAAAAAAAAAAGATACATACTGTAAACGATGCTTGCTTTGATTCAACCTGCTCCAACTGTTTGTCTTCTGCTGTATATAGAATGCTGTAACACGGGTTATGTACCTTAACAAACCCTTGTAGATTAGGTAATGAATTAATCAATGTCATGCTTTGTTCTTAAACTGAAGATCTTTCGCCACACATAAAACATAAATAAAACAAAAGAAATATGGCGTTATACTGCTAAAATAAAAAGGACCAGGGATGTTATGTTGTGTTATGTTAATATAGTTTAAAGTTTAAAAATTCGTGTTTGGCTTCCAGAAATCCATTTTTGTGAAACATTTAAAGATTGGTCCCACTACTTGTAAACTCTTTAAGTCTTAAGGAACGCATCATACGTTTATAGGTTGCTGCCTAGAAGCCCAATGAACGCATGATGCGCCGATATTAGTCTCTTTTGACTAACCCTTAGGTTTGTGATACTAAACCCTCTGGGAGTTAACACAATTTTTGTAAACGGCGGCTGATTAAGTGAGTTGTCCCTGCCCCATTGTGGGACGCAATTTTCTGTTATTTGAAAGCCTCAACCCGGCTGTTGTCGGGGGCCCTAAATATAACCCAAAGGTTGGACGGGGTTTCTGGGTCTTGTGCCCAGGCGATTCTCATCCGAATATAGGCACTTTGTGTCAACGGGTGATTATTGCTCGTCGTGCGGTCCTGGTGCGGTTGAACGTCAGTCAGTCAGTCACTCAGTCAATAATTCAGTCAATCAGTCAGTCAGTCAATCAGTCAGTCAATCAATCAATAAGTCAGTCAATGAGTCAATCAATCAATCAGTCACTCAATCAGTCAATAAGTCAGTCGACCATTTAGTCGATCAGTCAGCCAATCAGTCAGTCAATCAATCAATCATTCAATAAGTCACTCAATCATACAGTCAACCAGTCAAAAGGTCAGTCAGTCAGTCTGACGATGGTACTTGCTGAAATCTGATGTGTTGAGCAGAAAGGGGAAGATATCGCATCTTAACTGTAAACCACAACACATCGTAGCTACAGCTATTTTGAGGGCGAACGCAGGAAAATACAAAAAGGGTAAAACCATTTAGGTCGACAGGATTGATTTCACGGAGTTTGAAAACAAGAAACCACTTTACCACTGCAGTTTTTATTATGTTAAGCCAGAGTCTTAGTCGGGGTTTCAATTTCATTACAATCGGATTTCCTCAGATT